TTCCTTGCTAAGGTATCGGAATGCTGTTCTCAGGTTTGCCTGGCACCCATGTGCTGCAGCAGTTATCTGGTTGATGTGTGCTTCCGGAGACATGCTCGGTGTTATACTCACCCCAAGATCTTTCTCCTTGAGTGAGGTTTGCAGTCTTTGGCCACCTAGCCTATACTCTGTCTGTGGTCTTCTGTGCCCTTCCCCTATCTTCATGACTTTGCATTTGGCAGGATTGAATTCGAGAAGCCATTTGCTGGACCAGGTGTCCAGTCTGTCCAGGTCTCTTTGAAGTCTTTGAAGTCCTGTGTGACTGTGTGTGTGTGTGTGTGTGTGTGTGTGTGTGTGTGAGTGTGAGTGTGTGAGTGTGTGAGTGTGTGAGTGTGTTAGTGTGTTAGTGTGTAAGTGTGTAAGTGTAAGTGTAACTGCAAATATCAGTATAGAATGTTATCAGTGAATCATATAGCACCTTATATGACCCTTGCAGGTTTAGCACTTCTTTATAATTAAAATAATAATAATAGCACCTTATGGAATTTTAGTATTTAATATTATGCTTGGAATGGGTCTTATCTCTGGCTTACAAGGTGTTGACGTTGGTGCGACCAAGTTCCATTATTCTCACTAACATGTTGAGTCACACAGAATCTGAGGAATAAGGGGTAATGAGGGTTCATCGAAGAAAAGAGAGATCAATTGAAATTCCTTGAATCAAGAGCTCTTCACTGGTGGCAGCATTGAAGAGCAGTTTTTGGTTTTTGTATTGGCTTAAGGATGATTTTCATTACCTTGCCTGTGTTAAATTTTTTGTACCATTCTTCTTCTGTAAATATCTTCTTAAATACATACAGTAGATAAAATGGAGACAGGATATTTTTTTTTTGTAATCCCACAATGATTTGTTTTTAAAGAATAAGTGTAAAGCCAAGGCTTTGATATACATTATTTAGGCATGCATACTGGTAAGAGAGCCCATCGTAAGTCCAAGGCATCGGTAAACGAGTACGTCGCTAAGTGAGGAGAGGCTATACTTACTTAATAACTTTTGCATCATGCCTAAATTGAGTAATAATAATAATATCTTTATTTTTACAAGTGCATGTACAAGGTATACAGGCCTAGCTGACATCAATGACACACTACTATATAGAAAGCCACTTGTGATGCAGAGCATTTTTGGAAAATTAGGTCAATTTTGTCCTGGGATGTGACCCACACTAGTCAACTAACACCCAGGTGCCCATTTTTACTGATGGGTGAACATGGGCAACCAGTGTAAGGAAACACGTCCAGTGTTTCCACCCTTGCTGGAAATCAAACCTGGACTCTCAACTTGTGAAGTGAGAGCTTTGCCATCAGGCCATGGGCCACCAAGATACTGCTTTATGCTGGGCATATTTATAATTTATGAAAATTAGTAGATGCTTTGTGATGATATTTTAAGTAAAGTCTTCAGTTTACCTGTTGATCAGTTGTTAATTAGATCACCTGTCCATTTACAGGAGGACTTCCACTATGAGTTTACTGAGTGTGATGATGAGGGTGGACGGTGGCGAGTAAGTGTGCCCAGTCCAGACACTTGTGAAGGAGGGGCACCCAACCCACCCAAGCGAACACATGACTGTAGTGAGTATAACATCTTTGCTTTAAATATTCATAGAAAACTTTTAACTCTTGTAGATTATTCACCTGAGTTAATTAAGGTGGCTACCTCTCTAGTGTATTTTGTACTTTAAGGTAGTGTGGTAGTGTGTACCTGAGACATGGTATGCTAATTGTATTAACTTTGAGATGATATTATGGGGTGGACCCTTGAGTTACGATATTAATCTGTTCCAGAAGATGTATCATACCTCAAAACTATCATAACCCAAACCCCAAAATACATGGTTTTATGATAATATGTTCCAAGATCTCAGAAGTGCAACTTTTACTGTACTGTACTTTGGACTTGGAGTTAGTGTGGTGGTAGGGGGAAGGTGAAGATGCTGTCTGTACTGTATCTCCCTTCATCTTTTATCCACAATAGCAACAGTCTCCATCTCTGTGACAATTTCTCTGCCTTATTTTACTAGCTTAGATTCACCAACCACTTTAATACTTTTCTGTATAATTTCTTTTTGCTAGAAAACAATAGAGGGTTGATTGTGGAAACCATACTCACACACCAATACACTAATTTTAACTCCATCATCAAGTTTTTTCACAATTTCTTGCTTGATCTTTAGAGAAACTGCCTGTTTACTGTGCTCTTGAAGGGCCACAATGACTTGGTAATACTAGAGAAAATGGCATAATTAAATTACAGATGCAGTTATGAAGGATAAATAATCCAGAATTGGTGTGGACAACATGTGTGGTAGCTTCAAATCGAAGAAAAAATAATAAACTGTAGCACAAACACTGCTATTGGCTGAGGTGCTACCCCAGAGATATTCGTTCCCATCACTGATTGGTTGCTAAGCCACCCCCACACACCCCCACTGATGCTCCTATTGGATCACATGCTGCCCAAGAGATTGGCTAAGATCCACCCATGCTTGCTGACAATTGTATGCTTACTGAACCTCAAATTTTTCAGCTCAACTTGAAACTAAAGTAATTTTTTTAGGGTAAATCATAACTGAAGGGACTACTGTATTCATATTAAAGCACTAAACCTTTAGTAGTCAGTGTCTGGGAATGGGAGGCAATTGGGTGTGATCCAAGGAGGCAGAGGAGGGTAGCTTCAATTCCTTGGATCAGTAACCCTTCACCAGTATCAAGGTACCTTTCCCTCACTGAAAGGTTTTGAGTAGATGCATTACCATTTGTGTTGCTTGCATTTTTTGTCTGCCCACATTTGCTACTTTTTTCATGATATCATTAGATACAATGTATTTTACAGATTATCTTGCCTTGCATTTTATTATTTATGACAAATATTGTAGTTCTTTTTTAGCATATTACTTTGTAGGTTACAGTAAGCCCTTCATTTAAATGATTGAAAATATAGGGCAAAGTCTGCTGGGTCGTTTTATTCAGAAACACCGGACATTAGTCTTCTGGTTATAGCATTATCCATTTATTTATTTATTTATTTATTATTAATTTGGACATGATACATAGAAGTACAAAGAAATACAGTGGTTAAGTGTAACATGCCAAAAGCCCCTTTTATGCAGAGCATTATGGGCAGGCTTAAAATTAGCTTAAGATTAACTAAGCAATGATATATTCAGTGGTAATTTTTTTTTTTTTTTTTTTTAACAAGTAGGCTGTCTCCCACCGAGGCAGGGTGACCCAAAAAGAAGGAAAATCCCCAAAAAGAAAATACTTTCATCATCATTCAACACTTTCACCTCACTCACACATAATCACTGTTTTTGCAGAGGTGCTCAGAACACAACAGTTTAGCAGCATATACGTGTAAAGATACACAACATATCCCTCCAAACTGCTAATATCCCGAAACCCCTCCTTTAGAGTGCAGACATTGTACTTCCCATTTCCAGGACTCAGTCCGGCTATATAAAAATAACCGGTAAAAATTATAGTAAACAAATAACAATTAAACACAAATGAATATTTCAAAGACAGGTCATATGGTCATTTACTGAGTTGCTGTGTATTCAGTAGAATGGAGTATTCTGTTAGGTAATGTAATTAAAAAAAAAAAAGTTTGATAGGGTCACAGGTTAAACATTTATGAGATACAATTATTCAGTATTTATTTAGTTGTGGGTGATTAAGTGATTTTTAAGAAGAGACTTGAATTTATAAACAGACAGTGTTTGTTTTATATTCACAGGTAATGAATTCCAGATTTTTGGGGCTTTTATGTGCATTGAGTTTTTGCATAGTGTGAGATGGACATGAGGAACATCCATTCATAAATCAAGGGTTTATTGATAATTTGCTTTTGAATCATATTACTTTCATCCTCCCCACTAAGTCTGTGTGAGATATACCTGATGACCATATGTACAATTACAACACTGTTATTGCCTTATTAATCTTCAATTAGTTTTAAGTTTGCCTGAAATGCTTTGCATATAAAGGGGCTTTTGGCATGTTCACCCATTTGTTACCCTCCTTTACAAACATGTATCATGCTAAAATAAAGTTGTTGTTGTTGTTGTTATTTTTAAAATGGCTATTCCTGTGTGAAGGTAACCCTCATCCTGCTGGACTCATTACTGTTTTTCTGAAGTCATTTAATTTGTAAATACAGTAATTCTTGACCACTAACTTGCTTAGCAAACACAAGTGAGGGGGAAGCCTGTGCAGAATAGACTTTTGTTTTGGATGCATTTCAGTCAGGGTAGAGTTTCATCAGTTTGATTAAGTTCTTCCTGAGTGACAAGTGGTCCCAGTGGGATATTGTTCTTCATATTGAGGACTTGTACACTATGTGGATTCCCTTTCACATTGGCCTTCAAGAAAGGAGTACATTACAACTTTTGATTGTCAACTAGTAGATTAAGTAAGAGCAGTAATATGAAAAGAACTTTAGCTAAACTTCATTAACTTAAAGCAGAGGGTTTGACACCAGTCAGTCCAGCTATCATCATTTTATCATGCAGGAGGAGCTGCATGTCTATGGCATCTCTAATAAAATCAGCAGACTCCTGCATTACTTGGCTTCAGCTAAGCAACATGTATATCTGAGATTTTGCACCAGAATATGATGTACTCCTGACTAAATGTAAATGTTTTCAGAGCATCTGTCACCACTTCCTAAACTCGTGACTTCTGAATTCAATAAATAGTTCATTCTTACTGTATGTGAGTGGTGGTGGTTGGGTGTAAGCTGAACTTGCCTAGCATGGACCATAAGTTTGTTGTAGTGCTTCACTGTTCTTTTTTTTTTCTTAAATGTTGGGGTCCAACCCCTGGACCCATTAAATATACTGTATGTGTAATCCTTTGACTACCACCCACAAGTTAGTACTTGTACAGTACTTCTTTTCCTTATCATGTCTTGTTGATAGATCTAAGCAAGCCTTTTGTCAACCAAAGGTTATTTTCTTTTTGTTATTATTTATTTAAATTTTTGTGTGCATGGATTATTGTTATGATGTTTAGTAATGTTGAAGATGTTTTTTTATTTCAAAAGTCATTACTACAAAAAAAAATATTTTTTTGGAGGTTTGGTGTGGGCTTTTTTTGAATGTAGGTTACTGCGATTGTCATGTCTGAATTTGCTTGTATGTAGTTTGGGGTACTACTATTATGTTGGTCCATTGATGATAAAAAACAGAAATAGATGGTAAAAAGAAAAGTTGTCTCAGATGTCTCAGATTCTGACGAGTTTTGTGATTGGAAGCAAGAATAGTTACTGTTTAGGAAGCTTGACTCTTGGAGATCATTTGTTTGTTGAAACATTTTAGCTGGAAAGATGCAAAACTTCCTTAGTAATACTAGGCCCATTTTCAGGTGTATCATGTGATCCAGGATGGTTCTTCAACTTGTCAGAGCTGGAGTGTGCACTCTGCCCTAATGGTACCTACTCTCTGGGTGGTGGGGTGCACTTTGACTCTTGGAAGACCCTCCCAATGGGATTTAGCTCCTATACAGAGGCCTTCAGATCAGCCTTTACCTTGGGAAGGAGGCGTGGAGATGTGGATTGTAGCGAGTAAGTTTGAAAGAAAATTAAAAATTGATAAACAGCATTACAAATTATCTTTCACAATTATTATACAGCAGCTTGGCCCAATGCAAGTAAATAAATATGTCACAGTCACAGCCTGTGAGTAATAAGTTGTTTGTTGTAGCGTACAACTATGATAAATTTCTTTGGTGTTAAGTAGTCAGTAAGCCAATAAATTAAGTTGGCCCATAATGCCTAGGCATAATAAAGGCTCTCTTTGCATTGTAACCCATTATTGTAAATACATAATCTCAATGCACTACTTGCAAAGAAATAAATAAATTTGAATTTGAATACTGACTGTAATTAATAGATAATCATATAGTGTATATGTATCTGCTGTACATTAAATGGTGATGGATAATGACCTTACCAGAGATGTAAATTGTAATGCCACTAAATCTGTGCCCAATGCATATAATTTTACTTACTAAATTTTCTTTTGATTAGCAGGTATGGATGGCAAGCAAAGGGGGATGTGTTAGCCAGTAAGGGTGGACAGTGTGCAGCTGTCCTGGTATATACTGTTAAGCTTGTCAAGCCTGGAGCTGTCCACTACACCTATCAGTACAGTGATGAAGACATCATCTTTGAGTTCTTGGTTTGTTATATGGAATTTGTTTGTTTCCACACTTCAGTAATATTTAATGCAGTGTTTAACAGGCCTACCAGTTAGTTTTGTCTACATTTATGTTCGCCCATAAAATGTTATCCTATGGTCACAAGGCAATAGTTTTTAAAAAACATAAAACAGTTAATTTATAATTTATTAAATGTAAATCACTGATTTTGTTTCTTTTCAAAGGATCAAAAATAAGATAACTGTAAATGTTGAATTGTTTATTTAAACAAAATGTAGCACTTAATTTTGAAGGCTTGTCAGTTCTTACAAGCAGATCCTTGTCCATATCCTCAGAAAGTTTTTTTTTTTTTTATGCCTCATACATAAGTTTAAACATTTACAATGGTGTTATTAAAATTTCTTTACTTTGAAATATTTTACATAAACATACTTAAAAGCCTATATTATGCACATCACTTTGGGCAAACTAAGATTAAGACTAAAATTACTTTAATAATAAAAATATTTACAGTACACAGACATGGAGTTCTAAGTTTATGAGTCTAGCTCTAGCACAAGGCAACTTATCAAGAAGTAAAAAGGACAGTTAATAACAAATTACAAATTGCAATTGTCAAGTTAGAAAGATTGAATGGTAGTCTTAGAAATTACATAAAAAGATTAATTTCAGGAGATATATAGTGTAAATATGACAGAATTAATTAAGCATGTGGAACTTTTTTCAGTTTTTATTTGAATTCATTAAGCATGTTGCAGTTCTTTAATTCATATGATAAGCTTTTCCCCATTCTTAGTCATTTTATTTGCATCAAGTTTCTGTAGAGGTTCAGGTGAACATGCTGAATATCAGTGGCATTCTGTTTGTTTTGAATGTGATGCTTTTGAGCTCTCTTACAGTTTTCCAAGAAGTGTCTTAAGGTGAAATTAAGTAGTGCACCTTTCTTTGTTTTTTGTTCAATCCACTCAAGCAATAAGTTTTCCATTTTATTTACTTGTTGTGATCTGTGTCATTCTTTTTCAGGAGATGACAGCCCGGGTTAGTCATTGCACAAGCCCGTATATTTGCCTCACTCCTTTTAATTGTATGAACTGACTCTTCATTAAGGCCATAAGCTCTTGCCATGTCCACCACACATGCACCACATTTAAGCTTATCTAATATCTCAATTTTCTTCATAACTCCAAGACTTAAACATTTTAACTTTGTCTTGCCACTTCCTGCATCACTTGCATGCCTCCTGGATGCCATGGTTCCTTGGCAGATGCAATGTAGGGTAATGAAAAGATCAAAACCTGATTCACAGACAATGCTGCCTGACCCACAGGCATACTGCCTAGCACTCACTACATAGAGGGGAAAATCCCCGTTGTCCAGCTTGCAGTGCTGAAATTTTTCCCCTACTAAGAAGCAGAACTGTTTAAGTCAAATTTTAAAAAGTGTAAGAAGAAAATATGCCACAGTTTGACAATACACTGTACTGTAATGGAGAAAACGTTTTAAAGGAACCCGTGTTAATCGATAGTCTACTGTATATTTTTTTAACATGTTGGCTGTCTTCACCAATACAGGATGACCCAGAGAAGAAACACTTTCATCATCATTCACACTATCACTATTACAGTACTTATTTGTCCAAATTTCCAATTTTTGAGACAACTTTACAATAATTTTGTTTCATAAAGTCACTTAATAAATCTTTAACATTCAGGCTCAAGACGAAGAATGCCGGGGCATTGATGGTGCAGATGACTACAAGTGGCCGTCACTTACCCGGGAAGGCCAGTGGAAGACCCTCAGTGTGGAACTCAAACCTGGACTCAATGTTTTACGTTGGAAAACACTTGGTATTGAAGCTCGAGGCTCTTCCAGACCTGTATTAATCAAGAGCATTCAGATCAGTGGTACGTTCATGTATTAGAACAATTGGATAGACATGAGGGTTTTGTCTCATTTTTTTTATTATTAAAATTCATCCCCTTGCAAAAACTTGCATAAGAGACATTGAGATTATTTTTTTTATCTTTCTTTTTCTCTACATTATTTGCAGATATACAGTTCTATGCATATTATACATTTTTATAATCAAATTACTTTGGAATCACTTCTAAATACTGTAAAGCCTTGATTTATCAGTTTTGGATTTAATGGGACAAAATCTGTTTCAGAAAAGTCTAGAAATAACATTTGTTAAGATAAGATAAGATTTTGTTTGGATTTTTAACCCCGGAGGGTTAGTCACCCAGGATAACCCAAGAAAGTCAGTGTGTCATCGAGGACTGTCTAACTTATTTCCATTGGGATCTTCAATCTTGTCCCCCAGGATGCGACCCACACCAGTCGACTGACACTCAGGTACCTATTTGCTGCTAGGTGAACAGGACAACAGGGATAAGGAAACATGTCGAAATGTTTCCACCCGCCAGGAATCAAACCCAGGCTCTCAGTGTGTGAAGTGGGAGCTTTAGCCACCACATCTATCTTATTGTTACTGGATGCTGGGTAAATTTATTTTGGACTTATAATACAAATTCTGTTGTTTCCAGAATGGTTCACATTGCTTTGTACAGGAAAAACATTCTTATTATTCGGATGTAACAGACACTCGGCATTACAGTGCATCGTCTTTCCCCCTATTATTCTGTTTAATCAAAAGTTTCACTGATATTCTTTATACAACTCATGATAGAGGAATTCATTTCCTTAGGTGCATATCAATATTGTTGATATTTGGGAAATTACATTACTGTCTGAGAAATTTACTATTCTCTGTCCAGTACTGTACAAAATTTATATGATGATGAAACTATTTTTCAAAGTCAGAATAGCAATGTATGGTTAGATTTTTCCATGGTGGTCAAACAAACTGTTTGGGTAAATATTTTACATAATTATTTAAATTTTTAATTGCCATATAGGAAATTTATGTTTAAAAAGGCATTAACATACATTAATTATAGCTTTCCTTTTTAATTTGTGTATGTTTCAGCATAGCTTATTTTTTTGTTTGCTTAATTTATATTGCTTCATAATTTAAAAAATACTGTATTCTGTAAGGTTATTATGGTAATATTTTTTAGGCTACCCTGCCACCGAGGCAGGGTGACCTAAAAAGAAAAACAAAAGTTTGTCTTTTTGTATTATTATACAGTGGAACCTCTACTTGCGAGTTTAATCCATTCTATGACCTTGCTCGCAACTGGATTTGCTCATTTGCAGAGTCAATTTTTCTCATTTAAATTAATTGAAATGCAATTAATCCGTTCCAGTGGAATTCTGTACTTCAATAATTTCGCTAATTTCAACTTTACGGCTTATTTATCTATCTCACTTGATCTAATATGACATAATAAACAATATAAATAACATAAAAACCTGATATACAGTGGACCCCCGGTTAACGATATTTTTTCACTCCAGAAGTATATTCAGGTGCCAGTACTGACCGAATTTGTTCCCATAAGGAATATTGTGAAGTAGATTAGTCCATTTCAGACCCCCAAACACACGTACAAATGCACTTACATAAATACACTTACATAATTGGTCGCATTCGGAGGTGATCGTTATGCGGGGGTCCACTGTATACTCTAAAATGAATAAAATATGTAATTCATGTAGTGGTATGGGTGGTGTCGGTGGTGAACGACAGTTTGTCTGGAGACCGGACAAAATACTTCTTGAATAATTTCGCTAATATCGTCTATATGGCTTATTTATCTATCACAGTTCATCTAATATGACATAAACAATATAAATAGCATAGAAACCTGATATATACTCTAGAATGAATAAAATACAGTGGAACCTCAAATATCGAACTTTCTTCGGTCCAGAAGGCTGTTCGAGTGCCACTACCGAACGAATTTATTCCCATCAGGAATAATGTAAATTTGATTAGATCATTTAAGACCCTATAGGTAGTAGGTTGGTAGACAGCAACCACCCAGGGAGGTACTACCATCCTGCCAAGTGAGTGTAAAACGAAAGCCTGTAATTGTTTTATATGATGGTAGGATTGCTGGTGTCCTTTTTTCTGTCTCATAAACATGCAAGATTTCAGGTACATCTTGCTGCTTCTACTTACACTTAGGTCACACTACACGTACATGTATAAGCATATATACACATACCCCTCTGGGTTTTCTTCTATCTTCTTTCTAGTTCTTGTTCTTGTCTATTTCCTCTTATCTCCATGGAGAAGTGGAACAGAATTCTACCTCCGTAAGCCATGCGTGTTGTAAGAGGCGACTAAAATGCCGGGAGCAAGGGGCTAGTAACCCCTTCTCCTGTATATATTACTAAATGTGAAAGGAGAAACTTTTGTTTTTCCTTTTTGGCCACCCTGCCTCGGTGGGATACGGCCGGTGTGTTGAAAGAAGAAAGATTTAAGACCCTCAAAAATACACTTATAAAAGCACTTACAAAAATACACTTACATAATTGGTTGAGTTGGGAGCAGTTCGATTTTTGAGGTTCCACTGTATGTCATATATGTGGCGGCGGCCGACGAGTGTTTGGAGACGGGACAACATACTCCTTGAATATTTTGCTATCATCAACTCTACGGCTTATTTATCTATCACAGTTCATCTAATATGACATAACAAACAATATAAATAACATAGAAACCTGATATATACTTCAAAATGAATAAAATATGTCATTATGTATATGTGTGGCGGTGGTGGCGGCCAACGAGAGTTTGTCTGGAGACAGTGACGTCATTTGTTTACTCTTGAACATAGTCAAACAAACGAGCATTTCTCCCTCGTTGAGCTCAATTTCTAGGTACTTTTCTTTGTGAAAGCAATCAAAATCATATCTATTTCTGTAATATATCTTCCATTCTATCAAATGAGACCAAAAGAACGAGAATATAGCCATAAAAACCATACAAAAATAACGCTAAGGGGTGGCTAATTGCTGAAGTGAACTCCATTACTTATGCTCCGATTTCTTTCATTTTTGGTGTGCATTAAGAAGCATCTTTCCATCATACATTGCCCAAGTTTCAATAAGATAGTCCAACAAACAAATGAGATACAATTCCCTAGATCAAGAACAAGAGCCCCTCACCGACATCAAGGAGCCTCCCTTGAGGTCTTCTCGCTTATGGAAATTTTGCTCGCATATGGAAGCAAAAAATCAACCCATCGACTGCTCATATTTGGAAAAACTTGCACGTGGATGCGCTCACAAGTAGAGGTTCCACTGTATTATAAAAAAAAAAACTTGAAAAATACTTTCCCAGATAATGGGCACTAGTAAGTTCACCAATTAAACCTGATGAACCTTCCTTCCATGACTCAGAGTCAGAAAATAAATTAAATGACTTCTTTTCAACTATCAGAGCAAATCTAGCCAGCAGAATCCAAAATTCTCCTACCTAAGTTAGAGATCACCTCACTGATAACTATCCACGTTTGCTGTGCCTATCCCCAACTACTTCAGTCAAGGTTACCTCTGTAATTAGGTTGCTGATATATAAAGCCAGAAACAAAACACATATACTGGCACTAATAGACAGGAAAGCTTCAATTATTACAGCACTATTCAGTAAATCAGTTGAAGCCAAAACTTTCTCTAACATATTTAAATTAGCAAGAATTGCAGTGACCCAAAAGAAGTCAGTAATTGGAGGCCAATTTCAAACTTGCCTTTACTGTCCAAAATCTTTGAAAAATAATGAATAAAAACTATATGATTTCATAACCCAACACAGTATCATTAACCTGTGTCACTTTGGCTTGAGGCTGAGATGAAGCATAGTGATACAATAATAAAAATGATGAGTTCTGTCTACCTCTCTCTCTTGAAAATAAAGAATATCCAATGGCAGTCTTTATTGACCTGAAAAAAGCCTTCAGTAGAGTAAACCAGAACATTCTGCTGCTCAGATTAGACCAATAATGGAATAAAAGGACATACTTTCCCATACACGAAATCTTACCTGAGTGACGGACACCAACGTAACCATAGATGACTGTTCTTCAGCAACCTGACTGAACAATGTAGGGGTTTGACAAGGTAGTATCCTGGACCCTCTGCTATTCCTTATCTATATCAGTGATCTTCAAAATACTTCGCTGAAACTTAAACTGATTCTGTTTGCTGATGACACAGCTTATGCCATTTCAAGTCCTAATCTGGCTGCATTCATCAACATGGTAAATGCTGAACTTGCCAAAGTATTTACTTGGGTCATAACTAACAAAAACACACAGTATTGACAAAACCTTCTAGAGTATAATGTTTGGGATCAGAGCAAAAGCAAAAAATGTTCATTTGAACATGAAGATAAACAATACACCAAATGATAGGCAAAACAAGAGTAAATTCTTAAGAATATACCTGTACAGCAAAAATTCAGCACACACATCCAGAACATTTCTAAAATAAATTTTGAAATGGTGGGCATTCACTCAAAAATATGCCATTTACTTTGTAATACCCTCCAATCTATCCATACCTCACTTAAAGTAACAGTTAATCACCTTAAACCTGTTGTTACTCAGTAAAAGTCAGGTTAAGGATTCCTAACTTTATTGACAAGCTAAGAGCTGTTACCTACATCAGCTCATTTGAAAGCATTTTTATTGTCATGAGACATACAAGTAGGGAACAGGATGAAGTTGGAGCCATCTGTGGGCCAGCATTTTCATCTAATCAACTGACTTTATCTCATTTTCATCATTTTGCTGTGTGAATGTGTTATTATTATAATCAAGGGGGAAGCGCTAAACCCGGAGGATTATACAGCACCTGGGGGGTGGGGGGTGGAAGGCATTCAGGCTTAATTCGGGGAACTGGAGCAGATCCAATTCCCTAAATCAAGAGCCCCTCACCAACATCAAGGAACCTTCCTTGAGGGGTGTGAATGTGTTCCAAACTCAAGTCATCCTGGGGATAAATGATCTCAGATGAAGTGATGTTCTGGAGAAGGGTACAGCCAGAGTGAAGTTGCTGCTTTCTGCCCGTCTTGTGGTATGGAAGCTTGCGTCATGCTGTCCTCGAAGTGGATCACTTGGAATAATTACTCATTCAGGCTTTAGGCAACACACACCCCTCTTGCTTAACTTACAAATTATTCGGACCTTCTACCTTGCACATTATGCTTCAGGACATTCAGTACAAACATAACCAAGAGCTTAAATTCTATCTGGAGAATTGCAATAGAACATGGACAAAATACAAGGAGCAAGTATCTCTGACATTCAAAAACTCCATGCAAATTAAAAGGTCAAAAATTTGAAACTCATTGCCTGAAAATATGTACCAGAAGTTCCCCATCTGTCACCATTTTTACTAATATTGTTAAAAAGCCCCTATTAAATTTCATATAAATGTTACATCCATTGACTGTCTATAAATTCTCTTGCTTTGATTTCAACACCCCAGTTCAACCACTCCATAAAATGCAGGTCATTAAATAAATGTAATTTCAATGTACAGTAATTTATTTGTAATTGACCAATTCTTCATTTGCAACCCGTCTCATTGTACTTATGACTGTAATGAATTACCCAAGCTGTACTGACTTAAATTATATACTAGATCTGGATATAAATAGGTTGTAAAGTATGTAAGCCTTATGTTTAGTTTGCCCAAAATGCATATGTATAGAAATAAATAATTGTAATTGTAATTTTAATTTTACTGGGAAATTAGAGGTAATCAGGCTTGATCTAAGGAAGGGGGAAAGAGGGAGGGTAGCCCCACTTCCTTAGATCAATAGCTGTATGCCAGCATCAAGGCAACCTTTCCCTTACCCTTGACAGTTATATAGTTATTATTGTAAAAACTTACTTAGGTTCATTGTTCATCTCCTAACCTTTTCCTTATGACAGGTGTTGCTCATTCGTCAGAATGCACTCCATGTCCTACAGGCACATACAGTGGACCCGGTGCACATGAATGCACTGAGTGTGAGGAGGGTTTCTATGCTCCTCGGGGTTCCTCAGCGTGCTTACGTTGTGATCCTGTCACTCAATATAGTCCAAAAGGCTCTCCAGCTTGTCTCTCACGTCCCCCATGCACCTCACATGACTATTATGAGATAGACTCAGCTTGTGATGAGAAAAATCAGGTATGCAGTCCTAAAAATATGCTCACGAGTACTTTTGTTTCCTCATTTAATTGTATGAAATGGCACTGTTACTTTAAATCTATGTTAAAATCTTTAACATATCTTGATTTGCAAATAACTTTCTGAGATATATACAGGTTTGTCTATTGCAAGGCTCCAAAGGATGCAGCATCTTGAGACTTGGTTGCAGGTGGGTGTCACAGTCTTCCTTCAGTAGGCTGGCACTCGCCAGATTCAGCTCATACATCACCTAGCAATACACTGGGTATGCCATATGATTTACTCGGTAGATCCTAACACAGACTAAGCAGACAGGAGTAGTCTGGAATTCCTTACTAGAGGAGTGGAAAGGTTGAGATCTGCAGTTTATACACATGACCCTGGCTAGTTATTAACCCTTTCAGGGTCCAGAGGCCATATTTCAAAGTGCACACCAGGGTCCAAGAATTTTCAAAAAATAATTTTGCTATTTTTTCTTATGAAATGATAGAGAATCTTTTTCTGAAGGTAATAAAATAAAAAGTACGAAATTTGATGGAAAATTGATGAAATTATGCTCTTGCGAATTTTGATGTGTCAGCAATATTCACGCATCGGCGATTTTGCCGACTTTGACTCTCATTTTAGGCCAATTACATTATTCCAGTCGACCAAATTCTTAGCTATTTCACTAGTATTACTTCTATTCTATCGACTGAGCACAAGAAATTGCCAAGTCAACTGTTTCAACTACAAAATAAAGTTTTCAGAAATTGGTAATTTGGCCAATTTAATGCAAATTTCAAAATACAGTACTGTATTCCAATTTCAAAATAGGGTCCAGAATAAACAATGCAGGAATTTACTTTGTTCATTAGTTAGGTTTTCAGGCTTTACAAATGAATTCCATTTTGATTTTTTATTCACATAATGAATTTTTAGTCTAACCAAAAAAGTAGAAGATTTACTGTTATGCAATATTGTAATAATTGTATAAATGATATCAAAGAACTACAGACCGATAGCACTAACATCCCATATCATAAAAATCTTTGAAAGGGTCCTAAGAAGCAAGATCGCCACCCATCTAGATACCCATCAGTTACACAACCCAGGGCAACATGGGTTTAGAGCAGGTCGCTCCTGTCTGTCCCAACTACTGGATCACTACGACAAGGTCCTAGATGTACTAGAAGACAAAAAGAATGCAGATGTAATATATACAGACTTTGCAAAAGCCTTCGACAAGTGTGACCATGGAATAATAGCGCGCAAAATGCGTGCTAAAGGAATAACAGGAAAAGTTGGTAGATGGATCTATAATTTCCTCACAAACAGAGCACAAAAAGTAGTAATCAACAGAGTAAAGTCTGAGGCAGCTATGGTGAAAAGCTCTGTTCCACAAGGCACAGCACTCGCTCCCATCTTGTTTCTCATCCTCATATCTGACATAGACAAGGATGTCAGCCACAGCACCATGTCTTCCTTTGCAGATGACACCCGAATGTGCATGACAGTGTCTTCCATTGCAGACACTGAAAGGCTCCATCAGACATCAACCAATCTTTCAATGGGCTGCAGAAAACAACATGAAGTTCAACGATGAGAAATTTCAATTACTCCGATATGGTAAACATGAGGAAATTAAAACTTCATCAGAGTACAAAACAAATTCCGGCCACAAAATAGAGCAAAAAAGCAACGTCAAAGACCTGGGAGTGATCATGTCGGAGGATCTCACCTTCAAGGACCATAACATTGTATCAATCGCATCTGCTAGAAAAATGACAGGATGGATAATGAGAACCTTCAAAACTAGGGATGCCAAGCCCATGATGACACTCTTCAGGTCGCTTGTTCTATCTAGGCTGGAATATTGCTGCACACTAAGCACCTTTCAAGGCAGGTGAAATTGCTGACCTCGAAAATGTACAGAAAACCTTTACGACGCGCATAACTGAGATAAAACACCTCAATTACTGGGAGAGCTTGAAGTTCCTGAACCTGTACTCCCTGGAATGCAGGCAGGAGAGATACATGATTATATACACCTGGAAAATCCTTGAGGGACTAGTACCGAACTTGCACACAAAAATCACTCACAACGAAAGCAAAAGACTCGGCAGACGATGCAACATATCCCCAATGAAAAACAGGGGTATCACTAGCACGTTAAGAGACAATACAATAAGTGTCAGGGGCCCGAGACTGTTCAACTGCCTCCCAGCATATATAAGGGGGATTACCAATAGACCCCTGGCTGTCTTCAAGCAGGCACTGGACAAGCACCTAAAGTTGGTACCTGACCAGCCGGGCTGTGGCTCATACATTGGATTGCATGCAGCCAGCAGTAACAGCCTAGTTGATCAGGCTCTGATCCACCAGGCGGCCTGGTCACAGACCGGGCCGCGGGCGCGTTGACCCCCGGAACTCTTTCCAGGTAAACTCCAGGTAAACATTTGTGAACATATATTAGGCTCACCAGCTGGCGTGTATTAGACGTGTGAGGTCATTTGTTTACTCTTGAACATTGGCAAAAATTTAACATTTCTGCTACTTTGAGCTCAGTTTCAAGCCATTTCCAGTACTAAAACCAATCAACATTATTTCTATTTCTGTAATATATCTTCCATTCTTTCAATTGAGACCAAGAAATTGCAAATACAACTATAAAAAACATAAGAGGAAACAATGCAAAGTCACTGTTTTAATAAAAAATTATGGTCTAAGTTTTTTTATCTCGTTATCCACTGTGTTCTGCAGGATTAGTTTTATGTGGTACACACATACCATATAGATGTATTCTCTCATATCTAGGCCCAAATTTACTGCTCACAGCTTATCAGAGTGAGCTGAGCTCATGGCGTAGATCTACGGTTTGGACCCTCAACGTAAAGCCATAGATCTATGGCACGGACTCTGAAAGGGTTAAGCATTTAGAGTGCCTCATTAAGGGAAAGGAACAAAGCAATACATGATACCTGGCATATGGTAAACATGAGGAAATTAAATCTTCATCAGAGTACAAAACAAATTCTGGCCACAAAATAGAGCGAAACACCAACTTCAAAGACCTGGGAGTGATCATGTCGGAGGATCTCACCTTCAAGGACCATAACATTGTATCAATCGCATCTGCTAGAAAAATGACAGGATGGATAATGAGAACCTTCAAAACTAGGGAGGCCAAGCCCATGATGACACTCTTCAGGTCACTTGTTCTATCTAGGCTGGAATATTGCTGCACACTAACAGCACCTTTCAAGGCAGGTGAAATTGCCGACCTAGAAAATGTACAGAGAACTTTCATGGCGCGCATAACGGAGATAAAACACCTCAATTACTGGGAGCGCTTGAGGTTCCTGAACCTGTATTCCCTGGAATGCAGGAGGGAGAGATACATGATTATATACACCTGGAAAATCCTAGAGGGACTAGTACTGAACTTGCACACGAAAATCACTCACTACGAAAGCAAAAGACTTGGCAGACGATGCACCATCCCCCCAATGAAAAGCAGGGGTGTCACTAGCACGTTAAGAGACCATACAATAAGTGTCAGGGGCCCGAGACCGTTCAACTGCCTCCCAGCACACATAAGGGGGATTACCAACAGACCCCTGGCAGTCTTCAAGCTGGCACTGGACAAGCACCTAAAGTCAGTTCCTGATCAGCCGGGCTGTGGCTCGTACGTTGGTTTGCGTGCAGCCAGCAGCAACAGCCTGGTTGATCAGGCTCTGATCCACCAGGCGGCCTGGTCACATACCGGGCTGCGGGGGCGTTGACCCCCGGAACTCTCTCCAGGTAAACTCCAGGTATCCCAAGAGACCATATCCAGGATGTACCTCTCAAAATAAAAGCAGATCATGTAAACAGAGGCTGAGGAAGAGAAATTTGTTTCCTCCAGGAATTGATGCTTCCTTATGTAGGGAAGTAGAGTACCCAAAGGATATTTTTATCAGTACATACTCAGAGGAAATACTGGCCCAGTTTTGCCAAGTTGGCTTCCATTCTGAAAGAGTAGGATTCCCAATACAAGACTGCCTCAAATCAAAGTTGGTGAATATAGTGAGCACCATCACTTCTTTCTGTATTGGCTACTTGTAGAAGGTCAGACATATCTATGTCTCTACTCCCAAAACCTTGATACATCCAACCAAACAAGTCTTTTGGATTGGTCAGCACCCACATCATGGTTTTGAGATTGGTTACAGAACATTAACCATCTGTAGTTGCTACATATAACATCATAGTACAGTAGACCGTCATTTAACACACGTTTATTTGGCACGTTTTGGTTATAGCATGATTGAAGAATTGCGGCACAATTTTATACAATACTTCGTAAAATTGACTTAACACAGTTCAATCTGTGGGAGGGGAAAAAATTTTGAGCGCACGGTTGCCATCCAACGCCACCCTCTGCCACCCTCACCACCCTCCCAGCCCGGTTCATATGTGTGTTGAAAGAACCTCTGCTAGGAGCTCACTGTGTTTGTTTAGATATGTATTTTAATTGCCATATCTTGAATCTGCCAAGCAATCATGGCACCCAGTAGGCATACAAGTGTTGCTGAAAATGGCAAGAAAAGGTTTAAGTCTAGGAGTTATGAAGAAAATCGAGATATTAGACAAACTTAAGAGTGGTTCAGGTGTGGTGGATATAGTGAGGGCCTATGGCCTTAATGAAGCATCAGTTTATACAATTAAAAAGAACAAGGCGAATATATGAGCTTGTGTAATGAATAACCCAAGATGTCATCTCATGAAAAGAATGACACATAGATCACAACAAGTAAGTAAAACTGAAAACGTGTTGCTTGAGTGGATTGAACAAAAGACAAAGAAAGGTGCATCACTTAATTTCATCATAATTAGAGAAAATGCCTTACAGTTGTTTAAAGCAGTGTGTGATAAGGAAGGAAGACCTGAAAAAGAGTGTGTGTTTAGCACAGGTTGGTTTCACAACTTTAAGTTGCATAATAAGTTACATAATACATATTAAGTTTTCTGGTGAAAGTGCTTCAGCTGATCATACAGTAGCAAGTAATTTCCCTGCTGAATTGCAGGAAATTGTTTCTAAGGGTGGCTATGAGCCACATCAAGTGTTTAATGGTGATGAAACAAAGTA